GATGATGATGATGATGATGATGATGATGATGATGATGATGATGATGATGATGAAATGTATCCTTTTCATCATCATCATCATCATCGTTACTATTTACCTGTATCTCGTCCACAGCAGCGCCCACACCGTTGTTGAGCAGCACGGCCAGGGAGAACATGGCGTCATCACTGCCCAGGCACGCCGCCTGCTTAAGTAACTGGACAGCTCTGGTGGACACAGCCAGGCCCTTGTCGCTCTGGGCATGGACAGAGGATTTGGTTCACATGTGTTGGAATTGTTGTGCTGAAACTAAACTTTAACGCTTACTAAAACTAACTCAAACTCTTACAAAAACTACCTCAAACAATTACTAAAACTAACTAAAAATCTTACAAATACTAACTCAAACTCATACCCAAACTTTAAAAAAAACACGTTACAAAAAACGAAAGGGACTTGATAGTTAACTCACAACCAAGTTTATATCACTTGCAATAAGCCCCTGTGAGATTTTGCAAGTGTCGTAAAACTTTGACTAAAACTAACCCAAACTCTTACACCCCCTCCCTCTACGCCCCCAAACTCTCAAAAAAAGTTCGTGATGATAGACTAACCCAGAGCTCTTACTAAAATCATGTTCAAACTGTCTCTAAAGCTAAAACCAAAGCAAAAAGAAAGTTCTAATACACCCACCATCACGTTCGTGCCGTAAGCGATGAGCTACGTGAGATGTCGCAAGTGCCGAAAAACTCTCACTAAAACTTAATCCAAACTCTTACCAAACAAAATCAAACTGTCATCCAAACTAAAACAATGACCCCAAGCTAAAAGAACGTGAGAGCTGACTCACCACCAAGTCTGTGGCGTTGGAGATGAGCCCCTGCGAGATGTTGAGAAGCACCTCCCTGCCCTCTGACCTCTCCCTCCTGGAGTAAGCCTCCATCTCTCCGTCCAGGAAATTCCAGGACAGGCTGTGTCGCTGGACAGCTTTACGTAATAGCCTCTTGACCGGTCGGTGGTGACGTAGACCACGCGGGTGTCTCATGGGGCAGATCCTCAATTCTGGGCCGGAGACGGGGAGAAACATCTCAAACAGACGGTAGCCTTCGTTAGGACAAATATCTGAGGATGAGAGAGATAGTAGCCTTCGTTAGTACAAATACCTGTTGTTGAGAGACAGTAGAGTTCGTTAGTACAAATACCTGTTGTTGAGAGACAGTAGACTTCGTTAGTACAAATACCTGTTGTTGAGAGACAGTAGACTTCGTTAGTACAAATATCTGTTGTTGAGAGACAGTAGACTTCGTTAGTACAAATATCTGTTGGTGACAGACAGTAGACTTCGTTAGTACAAATACCTGTTGTTGAGTGACAGTAGACTTCGTTAGTACAAATATCTGTTGGTGACAGACAGTAGACTTCGTTAGTACAAATACCTGTTGTTGAGAGACAGTAGACTTCGTTAGTACAAATACCTGTTGTTGAGAGACAGTAGACTTCGTTAGTACAAATACCTGTTGTTGAGAAACAGTAGACTTCGTTAGTACAAATACCTGTTGTTGAGAAACAGTAGACTTCGTTAGTACAAATACCTGTTGTTGAGAGACAGTAGACTTCGTTAGTACAAATATCTGTTGGTGAGAGACAGTAGTCTTTATTAGGACAAATATCTGTTGGTGAGAGACAGTAGACTTCGTTAGTACAATGGGACAAATATCTGAGGATGGCAAGACTTCGTCAATACAACAGTAAAAAATGTCTCTAACAGTCGGTAGCCTTCATTAGAACAACTATCTGAGGATGAGAGACAGTAGATTTCGTTAGGACAAATTAAATAGTTGAGGATGACAAGACTTCGTAAGGACAATAGGACAAATGTCTCAAACAGTCGGAAGCCTTCGTTAGGACAAATATCTGAGGATGATAGACAGTAGAGTTCGTTAATAGGACAATAGGACAAATATCTGAGGATGATAGACAGTAGATTTCGCTATTAGGACAATAGGACAAATACCTGAGACGAGGATGATAGACAGTAGAGTTCGTTTATAGGACAATAGGACAAATATCTCGAACAGTAGCGTTCGTTAGAAAAAAATATCTGAGGATGAAAGATGGTGGTCTTTGTTGTTAAGACAAGTATTATTATCTGAAAATGATAGACTTAAGTTTTCGACAGGACAATAAATATCTTGGGATGATAGACTTCACTAGGACAGAAATCCAGAATGACAAACTATAGTTTTCGTTAGGACAATTCTTTGAGGATGATAGAATGTAGTCTTCCTTGTTAGGACAGATATCCCAAGTGATGACAGACTTCGTTAGGACAAATGTCTGAGGATGACAAGACTTCGTTAAGACAAATGTCTGAGGATGACAAGACTTCGTTAGGACATTAACTATATGAGAATGAGAGACGGTAGACTTCGTAAAGACTATATATCTGATAGACAGTAGCTTTTGTAAGGACAAAAGGCAGACGGGTGATGAGGCTTAAGCATAGTCAATGAATTGTTTTTTTTAAAAAACTACCTCCAACCCCCCCCCCCAAAGAAACAAAACAAAACAAAAGAACCCCCCCTACCCCCCCCAAAAAAACAAAACAAAAACAAAACAAAACAAACAACAACAACAAAACAAACAACAACAACAAAACAACTAAAGCGTTTAAGGCCATTCCTAAATCCCAAGGTGAGGGATTTCAACACTGCTTGCCTTTCAAGGCCAACCCACTCTGAGAGGAATACAACATCCCAGCAGAAAGAGGAAGACATTACTATAATTATTTGACACACTCACTAGCTCTCTGTCGCAGCAAGTACTTCTGGTAGCGCTGGTACACACTGACCGCCGAGTCCATCCACACCAGGAAGTTCTGGCATTTCTCCTCCCTACTGGTCAGGTGAAGCTCGAACATCGGGTGGAAGGGATCTGGTCTGGGGATCTGTGGACACAGCGCAGGACATTTGGACAAGCTGCAGATACGGTCACTTTTAAGGACAAGCAGGCTAACCCCCGATTTCGGGGGTTTCCAGAAATTTTGACCTACACCAAAAGTGGGCATTGCACTACCTATAGGAAACGTTTGGTTTCATCGGTGTGTATATTTGTTTGATTATAAAGAAAACTCTCCTTGTCTTAAAAAAAAAAACTGAACAAGGGGCACAAACTTTACCTTCCATTTTCTAAAAACAGCATTTTTCGGGAGAGCCCCCTTGTGCTTAAAAGCGGCCAACTTACTGCCTGGTGCTTTCTAGAATCTAAAATGATAACTTTAAACCGTTCTGTGTTGAGATTTTTATCTCGCTTTGTAAGGACAAGATAAATAATTGTTCGTTCAAGAAAGCGCTAAACAAAGCCATAACACAGTTCTCTTTCTGTAAGAGTAAGCACCTGTACAAGCTTTTGTTCTACACGAGTGTCTTAAAACGTCGTCGGTAAAGCAGTAAAACAAAATGCCGCTGAACCATAATTTTGGGGAATTCAAGGGAATACAAACATCGACAGAGCATATTCTATCTTAGAACACGAACTAGAATTTAGGTAAAATCAATTTTAACATAAACAATAAAGGCATTATGAAATGAAGTTTGTTCTAAAAACCACCAAGAACGTATATCATAAATTCCCAAGGTACAGGTTACGAAAATTTAGTTCATTTTATTCCTTGAAAATAACTCCTTGTTTAAGTAAGTGTTTTATGGCACTTGGAAAACTATGAGTCGTATTAGTATCGTTAATTAGAGAAGTTATAAGAGAGTGACAAATATAAAAAAGTAGGAGAGATACAGGCAATAGATGTTTGATATTAGAGGAGGAGAAAACCATTCCAGAGCACCCACCAACCACCTGCGTGCTTGAATTTAAAATGACAACACTATTATTATTATTATTATTATTATTATTATTATTATTATTATTATTATTATTATTATTATTATTATTATTATACCCCTATTGACACAATTTAGGAGGTCGGCTCCGATATGGGAAAGATACAACATCATAACATAAAGACCGATATACACGATAAAATTCTCTTCACATGACAATGAGCACGGGTTTTCATCGTTCAACGAAGAAGCCGCTAACTGCAACACAAACAGACACCGGGACGAGGACTCATAAGCATTCCCGGCTCCCCAGGAAGCATAACGCTCAAGCAGACGACTAACCCCTCCACAAACACTAACAAACTGTCGAAATCTTTCACATTCTATATCTCAATAGATAATTAAATAAACTAATAAATAAATAAATAGATAAATAAATAAATTAATTAATTAATTAACAAACAAACAAAAGCCAACCAACCAAACAAACAAATG